CCAATGAGAGTCACTTTTCTGAGATTTGAAAGGCTAGAATAGGGCTCACCTTGGTGTGCTCTGCCTGTACTGGATGGACTGGTGGACATTCTGACCTTCTGGATTCACCGAACTTTCATGCCTTGGCACCTGAGGCCTGATTCCTTACTTTTCTTAGGCTGGACTCCTGGTCTACCCACTTTCATCTTCCTCCCAGAACTGCTGATGTTGTCCTCTGAGACTTTCTGTTTGACTTTACCCTGAACCCTTCCAGTCTATCCTGCTTCAGCTTTCTGCTTGACCCACCATGCCCTAGGGTGACAGACCATGACAAGGGATTATGGAGGTAGGGAGATGGCTCTGCCCCCTGATCTCCAATACTCAGCATTGGGTGAGGGGAGTTGGGGGAGGTCAGTAGCGAACAGTTCATCTTTGAGTTTCCACAGAGGAGTGAGAGGAACACATGAGTGACATAAGAGGGCAACTCAGATCACCAAAAAGCCAAATATAAGGGTTATATCAGACTTAATTAATTTGAAAATAGATCCCATCTGCACCAAACAAAACTAACACGCTGTAACCCTAATACTCCACAACAAGAGCTTGACATAACTAACGCCATGATGAACCTATAAGTTTTTTCCTGTCTGCCTTCTCCTTTCTGCATACTTTTGTTAATGACTTTGTTTTGTTCTGTCCAGCCACCTGTGGCTTACTAGCCACCCACCCCATCCCACATGAAGATTAGAGCCCAGGTGTCTGGCATGTATATCTTTAGCCTGATAAGGAGATGTCCTGCATGTATCTCTTTAGTCTGATAAAGAGTCTCTTGTAATTATCTTCTAACGAATAACTCATCTGGCCGTGCCATCTGCGGGCTACTTGCCAAACAGCAATTTATAAACTCTAATGTAAAATTGCCTTTCGGGACTCCATAAACACAGCCTGCATTGCTGCCAGACTCCCCGTTGGTGTCATCTCCTAAATAAAATTTCTCTCTCTTTCCGACTTGAAGTATGTTTCATTGGCTCGACTGCTCCAGGGCATAGACCTAACCGGGCAGCAACACCGAGGTGCAGGTGTCTTAAATGGAATGATGGTATCCTCTCTCCTCTCACCACCCAAAAAATCTCCCAAACTGCCTTCCTGGACCAAGGAAATAACTATTTTGTTAAAATAAATATTTGCAATGGCAGAATCTAAAGACAAAGATATTGATAAATAAATTGACATAAAATCTTTAAAAGACTATAAATACATGATCATTATATAAAATCAATAACACCTCACGTATTTGGCACTTTTGTAAAACCATTATACACTTTATCGTTTGGAATAAATGAAGCCTTTCTAAAGAAAATATTTTTCTATCTCCTTAAACCAGGCTTCAAAAATGCTCCTCTGGTCACTGTGGCCACCTATCAGGCTGTCAACTCTCCTTCGTCTCTGATGCCAATGGACATCCTTTAATCTTTCCCTCGGTTTCCCCTTTAGTCTGCTATGCACTTGGAAACAATATAGCCATACTTGTTAGAATTGTTGATAAATTAAGAGTAAATAAAATTTTAATGAATGTCTTTCAGGTGCTAACCTATGAGAAAATGCACAGGATTTGGGAAATGGCCTTTGTTCTGGTTTTGTTTATGGGTTCTGGGTTGGTAAGGATGCCATAAAAGTGATGTGTCACTGTAGTTCAAAAGCTCCCATACACTGCCTGATGAACTCCAGAGTTGAGTTTGTTTTACTTCTTTGAAGTAGGTAGAGAGAGAAATTCTAGTCTGATTTGAAATGGTTCTGATAGTTCATAGGTCAAGTAAACAGGCTGACACCTGTCATATGCAGGAAGCGTTTTGAGGACTCAGGTGTTTTAAATCCACTGGTCCCCCCAACATTCAATCATCTGGGGATCTTGTCAGCAGAAGACCACCCAGTGACCTCAGATGCCAGAGCTAGCCCACCCCCACTTGGACTCTGCCAATTCTTTTATTTGCTGTCTTCTTAAAAGCTCAATATACTCCCAACCCCACTCCAAACAGTTAAGACTTAGCCTATGCCTCTAGCAAAAATTTACAGATGTTGGTACAGATATCTAAGGAGATATTATTCCCTCCTCAGACCATGAGATTTAGGCTACTATCCCATGTGATGACACTTGGAGCACCTAAGGTTAATCACATCATTTCTGGGGTCAGATTGCCTAGGCCATATCATATAACCTCTCTGCTTGTGACAAGGTTGTGGCCATAGGGAAGGACAGCTGGTCCTTACAAATCCAAACAGTATTTACCATCTCTTTTCCCTTTTTACATGCTGGCCATCCAAAGAGGAGATCTTCAGGACAGAAATCTTCCCAGCTGAGAAGGTGATAGCTGGAGATGTGGTCCTGAAGAACAGTAAGTGGGTTGAACACGGTAGCCAAAGGCTACTCTTGGGCCATATATGAAGTCCTCAGTGAGGGCAGACAGGCTCCAACCTTCTCAGGAGTACAGAGACATCATCTCCACTGGATATAATGGAAAAACAAATTGTGGTGAGTTCAGTCCCACCTCCTAACAAGTAGTCAGGTATCCATGGGACCAGAGCCTAACACAGGACTTGGGGCCTCCTCCCCTCACTCTTTGGAGTCATGGAGACAGGACATTAATGGACGGTTTAGCCAGAAGGACCACACCACTCAGTAGTAAGTATAAATCAACCTGAAATATAATCAACCTTGACCTCTCATGGTGCCTGTGAATGATGACAGCAAAGATATAGGCTGATTCTGTATTCAATTCTCAATGAATATTTTTTCATGAATTCAGTTTGGCACACTCGAGACAGCTCTGTGCAGGTGTGCAGACCTATTAGGTAGCAGAAATCCATTACAGCATATTCTATATATTTACATTTATGGGCCCATTTGTCTGACAGATTTATGTGGGTGTGATGAATGGCCTCTCTAATCTACATAGAGGGGACCTCTGGGGAAACCACTCCCCAGGCCAATTACATCAAAATGATGATAATGATGATGGTGGTGATGACAAAGATGATAATGGTGAAGTTACTGATGATATCAGAGAAAACCTCAGAGTAAAATTCCAGTAGGTTGGCTGCTACCCCCCCTGCAGACCTTGGGTGGCCCTAACAATCTCCTCCTTATGGAACCAGACATGCAGAGCTGGAGAGGACCTTAAGACCTAGTCCAGCCCGCTCATTTCACACATGGGGAAGTTGTGGCCCAAAGATTGAAATAGTCCTGGATAGTCCTGGATAGTCCTGGAGCTGGTTATAAGTAGGCTGTGGCTTTAACACAGGCCTACACCCCAGTTCAAAGAGCTTTCATGGTGCAACTGTTAAGTGTTTGGCTGGTAACTGAAAGGTTGCTGGTTTGAACACATCCAACAGCTCCATGGGATAAAGACCTGGAGAAATGCTCCCATAAAGATCACAGCCTAGAAAACCCTATGAAGCAGTTCCACTCTGTCACGTAGAGTCACTATGAGTTGAAATCAGCTCGATAGTACCTAACAACAGACCCCAGTTCAGTTCTCTTTCGATGATATCACACATTGGTATGCCGGAGGGTGCTGGGCTGTGAGCTGTCCTGTTTCATGAGCCACACACGTCTTCTTGCTCTCCCAGCTCTGTGCCTGCCTCAATGGAGGGATTGCCTACTGTTGGGAAGTGATGCCAAAGTAGTCAGGTATGGGCTTGGCAGCTTGAGGATGGACTCAGAATATTGGAGTGATTGACAGAAGTCATGTGCTGGGGGTCCTATATCTTGGAAGGTTATTGCATAAAATGGACATTTGAGATCAAGGAAGAAACTCTAGCTTTTACTGAGCCCTTTCTCAGTAGCCGAAACAGAAGATACATTTCAGAAAGAAAGCAGATGATTCAACTCCAGACCTCGACTTCCTAGCAATGAACACTACGTAGCACAACTGGCACAGAGCAGGCACCAATAAATAAGTGCAGGCTGAATGATCAGGGAAGACAACTGGTGCCATACATTCATTGGTCTTCTGCCAGGCAATATCTCATATCATTCATTCAACAAATATCTGTCAAGCACTTGCTAGATGCAAAATACTGTATGAGATTCAGGAAGAGGGCACAGAGACAAGACTGGATATAGTCTCTGCCCTGTGGGGAAGGCTAGGCCAGCTCCTGAAATGAGGTTTACTTCTGTCTTGAGTGTCCTGCCTGATCAGACCCTGACCTCTCAGACTCGTCTTGAATCAATTTCCCTGCATTCCCTGTATGCTAGCCAAGATTGCACACACTATTCCATCTAGCCTGGGTCTTTCCTATTCTCCATTCTGAGTGGCTGGCTCCTTCTTATCTTTGAGGCTTCAGCTTCAATGTCACCTCCTCTAGAAAGACCTTTGCAGAACATTCCATCTAGAGTAGCTTTCCTATTACTGTCTGTGCTAGAGTTCATTACTGAACCCAGTTCTTTACCCTTCTCTGTATCCATGCTCTCTGCCAAATGACTTTGCAGTTTCTCTCACAAAAGAGGAGGTTATTTCCCCACCTGTTGAAAATGGACTTGGCCCCGGGACTTTGTCTGGACAACAGAATGAGTTGTAAGTGATAGTGTGATAGCTGGGAGCCTAGGTCTCAGAGGTCGGCGTGTTTAAGTTAACTTTCTTGTGCTTCTGCCTTTGTCTTGAAAAGGGTAAGCCTCGTCAGAGCTTCCTCAGTGAAGGTACCCCAGCAAAGCCCTAGCCGACCCCCAGATGCATGAGAAAGCCAGCGAGATCTGCTGACTGCAAACCTTGTGACTCAGGAGCTAAAGAAATGCTTGTTCTATGTGGCTGAAGTTTTGTATGTTTTCTCACATGGCATGATTGTGGCCATAGTTACTGGGTACACTAAGTCAATCTCCTGGTCTCTTCCTATGTGCCTAGCACGTAGTGGGTACTCAATAAATATTTGATGGATGAATGAATGAACAAATGAATGCAGTGCAAAACCCCAAGCTCTGTATAATTAAAGGTCCCAGAGCCCTTCTCCTTTATAAGAGTGTGTACCTGCAATAGCCACTTGTAGCTGACGATGTGAGCAGACTCCATGGAGGTATATCCCTTTGCCATTTTGGGTTAAATTTTGGAAGACATCTGTGAAAATGCAGCAGAAAGGAACATGGTTAAATTTTTTGATGTTGGAAACATTGTGAACTAATTCTTCTGATACACCCCCTCTCTCCTTAATCACGCCCATGCTAAAACTCAAGGGGACTGAATTTAGGTATATGTGCAACCACAGGTGATTATTAACTAACTGAGTTTCCTCAAACCTCTGTCTCTGAAACAAGGGTAGCATTAGTTTGGGTGGACTCAGCCATGTCTCACAGGCACATAGCTAGTGCTCCCTGCAGTGTGCCCGTCCTCTTGTTTCCAGATGGGCAGCTGTCTCCCTCTTGTGTGAATTAGGGACAGGCAGGCAACCTACAGGGAGTACAGAGGAAGCCCTGGCCTTCCCTCTATCCCGCTGGCTAACCCTCCATGTTCTCTGCACGGAGCATCAGGTAGACAAAGTGCAAAAAGTCAGTCTGGAGACTAGGTGCCATAGCGGATAAGCATCAGCTTGCAGACATCACTGGGCTGAGTATCATTCCTGCATTGAACACAGGCTCCCTCTTGGGTGCTGGTGGCCTTGCACCCAGCTTCCCTCCCATCTGAGGCTCCCTAAAGAGTACCCCCACTTCAGGATAGCATGGGGAACCTTCTTTTACAGAGTTTGTTTTTAATTGTCTAATTATTTAATCAATTTTATTTTATCTCCATTCCCTACCCTTGCCCACATTAAGCAGCCAGCATGGGAATCTTTTGACCAAGCAGGTTGCTGGCCTACTTAGGGATCAAAAGTATCTGCCTTGGAGCCTCATACTCCTGCATGCAACCCCTAGGTAAGTTACTTAACTTCCCTGAGTCTCACTTTCTTCCTCTGTAAAGATGGGATTATAATAGAGTGTTGTTGAAGATTAAGTGAGAGCCTGGATGTGCCAACCTCAATAAACTTCAGCTACGATTATAATGGAAATAACAATAAATGCTTTTGTTATTTGCGGATCCACATCTTTGAATATGCAAATACACTTGATGACATCAAATCGGCCAAGTTGAAATGTCCTGCTTCACTAAATGGTAAATGTTGTCACCACCATCATCACCACCACCATCAGTTAAAAGTTGAATGGTTGGCTATGTAGACTATGTCTAAATACCCCCTGCATCAGTTTGACTGAGTAATCCCCTCCGCTTCTTGTATGGGGAGTGTGCCCCCCTACTAGTTCTGTGTCCAGCAGTGCCAGGTCCTTCCATGCCTACCTGCCTCCTTTGTGGCAGCCCTCAGCTGGTCCCAGTTCAGGTATCCTGAGTGGTGACTGTCTTGCTTGTGGAAAATCTCCTGCAAAGAACCACAACCAAAGGCTAAGGAAGTCAAGCATTCCCAAACCCCACCAGAGAGCCCTGAAGGGCTCCAGAGTAGATGCTGCAGAGGACTGTGCGAATGGCTTATGCCAGAACGTCCTGCTGCTGGGATAAGAATGTGGCAGAGGGCCCATGCCAGGATCCTACCACTTCTCACATTGCTTTATGGAACACAGCTTCTGAGAAAGGGAACAGTGTTTTTCTCATGGGGTATAGACCTACCTGGTTAGGGAAGTGTGCTTAATTTAAGCACATGGTCCAGACATTTAGGGTGGTCCCAACTTTATGACTCAGGAGAGAAGGAGAAGACTTGTGAGTAATGACTGGAGAAGTAGGAAGGAGCCAGTTTATGAAGAACTTTGAAAGCCATGCTAAGGAGTTTGGACTTTGTCTTTAGGCAATGAAAAGTCTTAAATAACTTTTAGTAAGGAAGCAACATGATCAGATGTGTGCTTTAGAAATTCAGGAGACCTTTACAACAGGTTCTCTAAAGAAGGGAGAGAGAGAAGGAGGAGGGTCTCTTGGGAGGGAGATTAGAGAAGATTTAGTGAGTGGTACAGAATAAAGGGCTGAAGGGGAAAGACGTATTTTATATACTTTACTGCAACCTGAGAAGCCTCTATTTCTGCCCTGTCCCACAAAGAAGTGTGGTTCGGACTTGTTCTTACCTGATAGAGCATCAGCTGCATCCACAGATCCCTGAATTCCTGCATGCTCACAGAACCTGATGCATTAAGCTGATAACGGGGTCAAGTTAAAAGCTGCCAGGAGAGCATTCCAACCTCGGAACTGTGGGCAGCAGTTGGTCATTCACATAGCTATGTGCATTTGTGGATGGTCCCATTCAGTGTCTGATATCCCTGGTTAGCCTCCCCTAGTTAGCCAGTCTGGCTCTGGCTCCCTCAGCCTTGCTAGAACAGGATAGAATGAGCCATAACACAGCAGCATTGGGAGAAGTGATGGCGAGTGATTGTGGTGATGATGGCAGTGACAGCAGCTACCATTTAGTGTAGAAGAACATTTTGATATGGCCAATTTGATGTGGTTTAAATAATAAACAGTAATTCTTTTTTCATCAATGTTAAAATCAATTTATAGAAAGAGTCAGGCATAGCATGGGTAAGAATGCCTCTTCTGCACTATACTTGGTCATTTTTTTAACAATCAAAAGTTAAGTGGATGGCTATATAGACTATGACCACATCAGAATGACTGGGTCAAAATACCAACATGCACCACCTCTATTTGAACCTGAATAGTGGGTCGAGTACTCAGTTATACACTTTACCTATGTTACTTTATTTATTCTTAGTAGGTGAGGTAGATATTATCTCCCCCATGTTATAGATGTGGAAATAAGGACGCAGAGAGGTTTTATTTAAGGTCATACGGCTGGTAAATGACAAGGCTGGGATCTGCTTCAATGTGTGTACACTTCACCACACACTACACTGTCTCTGGGGGACATTGGTTATTCAGTTTGAGTCCCAGTCACTGCACTTCATGTGCAACCAACACCTGTCTGTCAGTGGAGGTTTGTGTGTTAATATGATGCTGAACAGGTTTCAACAATCTTCCAGATTAAGATGGACTAAGAAGAAAGGCCTGGCAATCTACTTTTAAATATCAGCCAATGAAAACCCTGTGGATCGCAATAGTCGAGTCTGCACCTGATCACGGAGGTGGCACAGGATCAGGCAGCATTTCATTCCGTTGTGCATGGGGTGGCCATGAGTTGGGGGCTGACTCCCCAATAGCTAACAACTACAATGTTATCTCTGAGTTTCTGCAAATATTGTTTTTTTGTTTGTTTGAAATTTTTTTTTGTATTTGCCACCCCCTCAGACTATCTATTCTATATTGCCTCTCTGTAGTATGGATAATCAAATTTTATTATATTTCCTACTTAGAAAGGCAGAGCGTTTGCTAGAAAAATTACAAAGCTGAGAACCAGGAAAGCTGGGTTGGTGGCATGCCATTTAACTACCCCAAGCTCTAGTTTCTTGAACTGTAAATGGGGAGATGCACTGCTCCTGTCACCAAGTGACAAGCTTAGGGCCCTGGGGCTTTGTAAAAGTCTCTAGTAAAGCTGGAGAATTATTAATAATCACCACCCTGCAGCTGCCTTATCCTCACTATCAGGAAATAAGGTTATTGTTATTAATAGTTAATATTAGTCACTTATATGACAGTTCTGTTCTAAGTGCTTTACAAGTGTTATCCCATTTGAATTCTCAGAGTAGGTTTTAATACTCTCTACATGCTTCAGATGAGGACCTTGAGGCACAATGAGGCTAAGTGGCTTGTCCAAGGCCACACAACCAGTGAGTGGTGGGATTGGGATTCAAACCCAGGCAATCTCGCTCAGAGCTAAGCTCTCAACCAGTAGCATGCATCCTCCCACAAAGCTAAAAAGATACACCCAGTAGGCAGGCGTCAAGGCTGAAGAGGGGCTGTGTACTCCTCAGACCTGCAAAGGAACAGAAAGTATCTGCGTAGGGGCTAGCCCAGCACAGCATGCCCCTTTTCTAAAGAGGAGGGCAGTGCTATCCAGACCAGACATAGGTTCCAATGACTACCATTTATGCAGGTTGGGAAGAGTGAGAATGAGAGAGCAATAGAGAGAGAGAGAGAAAGCTTGGTAGTGATTCCTATACCCACGGGACACAGGAAAAGCCTGTAGAGAACACTCTATGATTGCATGGCTTTGCCTTCATAGTAGGTCAAATGAACATAGCCCTCTGTGCCCAGGGAGGCTAGGGTCATAGAACTAGAGGCTCCCAAGTGTGAAGGAAATCTGGAAGGTGAACCTGATCAAAGTTTCACCCAAATTGGGGAGTTTGTTCCTCAGATTTCTTGACAGACGATCTGTCAGTAATGGATGCTCACTTTTTCACCTAGCGGCTCCCTCTGCTGCAGGATACTCTAGTCATGAGGACATTCTTATGTTAAGTGCAAAGGAACCTCTTGTAATATTCACTTGTCTATCCTATTTCTGCCTCCAGAAAAGCATAAGACAGGTATTTGTCTTCTCTTCATCTTCTGTCCTCCATTCTAAACATCTAAAGATTTCTCCAACTATTCCTCAGATGACATGATTTCTAAACTCTCATCATCCTCTTCTACCTGGAAAAAAGACCAAACCTGTTGCCATCAAGTCAATTCTGACTCGTAACAACCCTATAGGACAGGGTAGAACTGTCCCACAGAGTTTTGAAGGAACTGCAGGTGGATTCAAACTGCTGACCTTTTGGTTAGCAGCCATAACACTTAACCACTACGCTACCAGAGTTTCCCATCCTATTCAAGACACTATCATTTTGCCAGGATCTCCCTAAAATATGACACCTAGACTTGAGCATAATCGTTCAGTGAAGTTTGATTAAACAGAGTAGAGTAGCTCTATCACTTCCAAGTTTTAAGTCAGCATTTTCCAAATTATCTTCAAAGGGAGATGTTTTTCAAAGAAAGCATTTATGGTCAAATAAATTTGGGACACTTTGCATCTATAGGTCCTTTTCTCCATTCACCATGCAACATTAGCATATGATAAATAGTGAAAAGCCAACAATTAAATTTTATTTAACCCTGTATTTCCCATGTGTAATTGACCACATAACCTAACCCTTTTTATTTCATGGAACACTTATTAAAACCTCTTGGTTTTCTAATGTTTCTTGGAACACAATTTCAAAAACACAAATCTGAACACTTCCATTAAATATAGCCTGAATTTGCATTAGCTTATTAAGCAGCAGCTTGAAACTATCAGCTCATGTTAAGCTTGAGGTCAACTAAGTTAACCAGATATCTTTTACATAAACTGCCACAAAAATAAGGTCTCTTCTGTATCAAACTTGTGCAATCATTTTTTTTTTTTTAAATAACAAAATGTCAGTGCTTTATTTTCATCCTGACTACATTTCACCTTTTTGGTTTGGGCACAGCTTGTTGACAACATGTTGAATTTCAATTGTACCATCTCTTATATTAATGAATTCTCCCAGCATTGTGCCATCTGCATATCTGATAAGCCAGCATTCCATGTCTTCTTCCAAGTCATTGATTAAAGTTGAGGAAGTGAATAGGACCAAGGGCAGAATCTGGGGACTCTCACCTTGAATTATACCTCTAGTTTTATATTTATATAACTCTTTGGGAATGATGATAAGACTTGCTGTGAATACTCTAATACTACCGTTTTCTAACCTATGTTTCATCACTCATCATGGGAGACATTACCAAATATTCGGACAAAATCTACAATATTTCTCTGATCTTTCAATCCAGAGACTCTCTCAAAGGACGACATGAATGTCACTTGTCCATATGTCCTTTGAAAACTTATTTTGCATCCTTTTGATCAAGGCATTTTTTTTAAGAGAGGCATTTTTATTTTATTATTATTTATTGTACTCTAGTGGAACGTTTACAGAACAAATAGTTTCTCATTAAACAGATAGTACACATATTGTTTTACGACAATGATTAACAACCCCACAACATGTCAACACTGTCCCTTCTCAACCGTGGTTACCTATTACCAGCTTTCCTGTCCACTCCTGCCTTCTAGTCCTTGTCCCTGGACTGTTGTGCCCATTAGTCCCATTTTGTTTTATGAGGCTGTCTAATCTTTGGCTGAATGGTGAACTTCAGGAGTGACATCATCACTGAGCTAAAAGCGTGTCCTGGGGGGTATCAAAGTTTCTCTAGTCTCTCTCAGACCATTATGTCTGGTCTTCTTTTGTGAGTTAGAAATTTGTTCTACATTTTTCTACAGCTCTGTCTGGGACCCTCTGGTATGATCCCTGTCAGAGCAGTCAGTGGTGGTAGCTGGGCACCATCTAGTTGTACTGGACTCAGTCTAGTGGAGGCTGTAGTAGTTGTGCTCCATTAGTCCTTTGGACTAATTTTTCCTTTGTATCTTGTTTTCTTCATACTCCCTTATTCCCAAAGGAGTGAGACCAGTGGAGTATCTTAGATAGCTGCTCACAGGTTTTTAAGACCCCAGACGCTACTCACCAAGGTAGAATGGAGAACATTTTCTTTGTAAACTGTGTTATGCCAATTGAGCTAGATGTTCCCTGAGACCATGGTCCCCACAGCCCTCAGCCCAGCAATTCAGTCCCTCAGGGAATTTGGATGTGTCTATGAAGATTCCATGAACTTTTCTAGTACAAGTTGTGCTGGCTTCCCCAGTATTGTGTACGGTCTTACCCTTCACCAGTTACCACTTATCTATTGCCTACTTAATATTCCCCTCCCATCCCTCGTAACCAACGAATATTGTGTCTTTTTGTGTGTAAACTTTTTTCATGAGTTTTTACAGTACAGGTGTCATACAATGTTTGTCCTTTTGTGATTGACTTATTTCACTCAGCATAGTGTCCTCCAGTTTCATCCATGTTATGAGATGCTTCACAGATTCATCATTGTTCTTTATCTTTGCATAATATTCCATTGTGTGTATGTACCATAGATTGTTTATCCATTCTTCTGTTTATGGGCATCTAGGTTGTTTCCATCTTTTTGCTATTGTGAACAAAGCTGCAATGAACACAGGTGTGCATATGTCTATTCCTGCAACGGCTCTTATTTCTCTAGGATATATTCCTAGGAATGAGATTGCTGGATTGTACGGTATTTCTATTTCTAGCTTTCTAAGGAAGCATCATACCATTTTCCAGAATGGTTGTATCATTTTTCATTCTCACCAGCAGTGCATAAGATTTCTGAT